TAGTTTTGCTCTAGCAAAAGTTTGCAACAGGCCCATTGGACTCATTTTTGTGGAAGAACGCTCGTTTATGAAAATTTTTGGCCATCCTGGTTTGACACTGGAATCGGGAGATTGTCAGTGACATTTTTCGTGTCACAAAGTTGGCTGCCTTTTTAGGCCAAAGAGCTTTTATATGAATCGCTGAGTCACCCGTGAAGTGATTCAGAAGACAGCAACGTGTTCACTGTGCTCCATGTAAAATGTTGTTGTGAAAACATTGTACCGCGGTGCTAGGTACTTCATCCACCCACAGCCTTTGCAAATAGGGCCTTTTATCCACGTGCACCATTCGCTTCCTTTGCGTGCCAGAATAGTTAAAAGGCGCCTTGGTTTCACCTGCCGGAGGGCGCGTTTACGTAAGCGTTCAAAGGACGACATTATGGCACCACCGTAATCCACCCAGTTCGGAGACTGAAGACTCGAATCTTTGCCAACTTCTGCCGGCTGCTTTTTACCGTTCTGTTTGTATACAACTTCCCAGGCGCTCCGTTCCTCTTGTTACAAGCTCTAAACTTTGAGACAACCCCCCCCTCCCCAACCCTTCCTCCTTCCGAGTTGGAGTGGAGGCATGAGCCGGACATCTGTTTCTTCATACTTTCGAGTACCGTTCTCTCCATGATATTTGCACACACCTACTGTAGACTCCTACTCCCACGGGACGCTAGTGCCGAAGCGCTTGCATTCACTATGCCATGCTGTGGTAGAGAGACCGTACAGTGAGAGTATGAACATTGGACAGGGTTGCCATATTCAGGGAATACCGGGAAAACCGAAAAATTGCAGGGAATTTTAAGAAGAGAAAAATCGTCGATTCATATTTGCTTTCTTGAGTCTTGAGTGGGTTATTGACGTTTTGAATAACAATGGCCAATACTGCCGTGCTAAGGAAGAACGCCGTTTGGACATTCGAGAATTGCCAAATTTCCCTAGATAAAACATGTTAGTATTTTTGAAAACACTCCCCTGGTGAAAATTGACGATAGGAGCTGCGTTTCAAAATACCATAGGAGCTCTTATAGCCGACTAAAGAAGGCTATTGAAAATCATATAGCTGTCTGTAGAAAGCGGAGCAAATTTCTTGCCGGGCTATACGAAGCTATAAAAAAGTATAAAAAAGTAAAGTAAAAGTACAATCGGGCTGTAGGTCCTATCGCTGGGCTTTACACTTCATCGCCATTGGCTATAAAAGGCTGTAAAAAATTGTGTAGAAATTCGTGTGCTTCGGAAATCATTAAGTTTCATAGGAACTACCTTAATATTTACAAAACACACATGATATTTTTCTTTTAAACATATTTTTTCCATCAATTAAAATAAGAATAATCCATTCAGAGTGTGCAAACATTTCAAAATCATGAGTTGAAAAACGCTGACTTCGCGAGATTAAATATTAGAGCCGAACACCGAGTGGAGCGGCGACGCACTGGCGCCTACAAACCTATCAGGGATACTTCACGCATTGTGCAATGCGTGAAGTATCCCTGTTAGGTTTGTAGGCGCCAATGCGCGTTTCGCGCTCTCTGCTCTGCCCGCCCGCCGCGCTGCAGCGTGCCACGGCATCTGAAGCAACTATTTCACACCAGATGTGTTGCACAGTATCATAAGAAATTGAAGGCGCTCCAACATATTAAGAATGACAGGCATCCTTCAAAAGTACGGAGCTTTCCTCGCAAAATAAATCAAGATACTACGGCACAAAAAGAGAGCGGTGGTCCAAAAACTAACTAAGTCCTAGTATCCGTATTTAGTAACGTTTAGCATAAAATTTATCGTTTGGCTGTTGCTTGATCGCCATCGGCTATAAAAGGCTATAAGAAATTGTACAGCTGGCTACAGAAACTATTGGAAATCTTACAGCCGGCTTTAGGTCTATAGTATTTTGGAACACACATTCTACTGCCAATTTTTACCAGGGTCGTGCACATTTTTCTTTGAAGTTTTCAAATATTTTAGATTAAATTGCGTACAAAACTGTCTGATATTTTTAGGAAATATTCAAAATTTTCCCAGTAATTTCGGTTTTTATCGGAGGAAATTTGACAACGCCTGATGGCTCATGCGGCGTTCTTCCTTAGCGCGGTAGAATAGGTCCTGGGTTCGAATCGCGGTGGTGGCGACAAATTTTCACGGAACTGACGAGTGGATCTGTAGATTCCTAAGCTGGAATAGAAGCCGAATAAACTGCAAAAAATAAATAAATAAATAATCGTTTGAGGTTATGTTCAATTGTTTTGAATGAAACGATACATCGAACCACTATCGGATACGGTCAATGGCACCAAGTGTACTAATCAGAAGTTTAAATTTATTTATTATCGGGACCCGGAGCGGGAGGGCAGGAAGAGTGATCGGATTAGGTGGGAAATGTCACTCCTTCCAGGCGATTGAGGCCATCGGCTTCGATAAGCTGACGTAGTGATTGAAAGACAGACCCCTCAATCGCTTTCAGGAGTAGAGTCGGTCGATGTAAATCCAAAGGTTTCCTTAGGTATCGCAACCTATCGCTGTAGAAATAATCCCCTGAATTTTGCGATATTCGAGGGGAAATGGTCCGATCATGACTCACCCTTGCAGCTAGTTGTATTCAATTATTAATTCAAAGGTGAGACAAAGATGCATATTTTTATTTTTTATTTCTATGTAAGAACGAATGCATTTCGGGACCTCGTCCCACCTTCAGAGCATCATATTACATTTGGTAGACACGATTTTAATTTTTTTTCCCCCTTCTTTTTCTACTTTAATCGTACCTATCCACCAAATGTGATGTTTAATGCTCCGAAGATGGGGTAAGGTCCCAAAATGCATTAGTTTTGTTTAGAAATAAAAAATAAAATTATGCATCTTTGGCTTACCATTCTATTATTAATCATTAATAGATGCAATATGCGCATTAACAACTTTCCATATTTTTATTTCATTTTTATTATTTTTTTATGTTTTGATAAGGAATATTTTAATTTTAGGCGAGGTAATGAATAGAACACTGCCGTGCTAAGGAAAAGCGCCGTACGAACCTCTAGGCGTTGCCAAATCTCCTTTCATAAAACGTGAATTTTCTGGTAAACTTATGAATACTTTCCTCCTAATTTTTCAAATAATTTTATTCGCAATTTCACCTAAAGATTCTGAAAATTTAATGGAAAAACATTCATAACTTTTCTCAAAAATAAACATTTTATGCAAGTAAATTTTGCAGCGCTCGAATGTTGTACAGTGTTCTTCCTTAGCACGGCAGTATAGTGAGGTCATGTTATTTTTATCATTGTTTTCCATGACGAAGCGCTAAAAATGTGTAAATGGACCGTAAAACGGTGCCTAATGAGCGTTTGGTCCTTTGTTTCAGATCTTACCGCAGATGAATTTCAACGTCTCCCCGTGTGACGATGTGAAAAATTTCGCATGCGGATCCTGGCTCAATTCGAAACCTCTTCCTCCCTTCAAAAGTATTTGGAATTCCAAGCAGATTCTTCAGTATCAGAGTAAGTCCTCCCTCCCGGCATCCAATTAAATTTTTTCATACCAACTCTTCTTTTCTCTGTCGGCTGATGCGATGAGTCGTCAAGCACGATTCTCCGAACCGTTTATTTTTTTTTATTTTTTTTTCAACGTTTCCAGCATTGCCGTGCCAAGGAAGAAAGCCGTATGAGCCTTCAGACGTTGCCACCTTTAATTTGATAAAATGCGCACTTTCAGCACACGCGTACCTTGGTCATTTTGCTAGGGGGGCCTGGCCCCCTAACCGCGGGGGATCTGGGGAATATGAAACACCCCTCAGTCTAGAGTGGGGTGCGGGGGGCCTCCTTCGGAAGTTTTTTGAAATTTTAATTTTAATTGTACGCATTTTGAGGCTTCCATGACGCAGATTTTCCATTAATTTCTGCCAGAAAATTACGTTTTTTTTTTTTTTTTTCTTTCAGCATAGAATACTTTCCAATTGTTGCATGGAGTAGATCTGGAAATTTTCTAAATTTGTAACTCTATTTGGACGCATTTTAAAGCATCCATGATGAAAATTTTAGAAAATACTGAGTGAATGAGCACGATGTCTTCAATTTAGACTCAAGAGAGATAATCATCCTCAACGAAGGTCTTTTCCCACCATCCAGAATTTCTGGGGAAATCTTTTTTTTGAAAAGCTGATGAGAAAAATCCGGCGGGCAGACGTGTGAAAACGTGAAAGCTTGAAAGATTCTGCACCCCTGCTGATAACTTCAAAATCTCTGAAAGACATCTGCGCATTATTTTCTTTTCCGCTTCAAAACGTATACTACGGTATAATTGACGCACGAGGGTATACTCTACCCAAACCTTTCGTATATTCTTCCATTATTTTACTTTCAGTGCATTATTCGAATCCAGAGTTCGTCGTTCGGAAAGCATCTCAGATTGTTAATATCGCTGTACTAATCTGTGTGACAAGAGCGTTCAAATAGTTGACCGTAATAGATATCAGTATCATGCTCCAGAAAAACACTAATTGCCCCCTTCTTGCGAAAGCTGTGGGCAGATCTCAAATTTCGCCCGCAAAATCGAGCGTATGCAACCCAGCCCACCGCGGAGTTTAAATAGTCGCATGTTGGGTTCGAACCCACTTCGAATACTCTCCCATTGTTTTATGTTCCGCCGAGCCGCCGCGAATTATTCAAATTCCGTGTTTATCTTCCGTAAAGCCGTCTATCCGTTGGTTTATAGTACTGATCGCGGGAACTACTCAGTGATGATATTACTATTTGATGCATGGCATGATGACCTATCCATTGGCTTAGTCTTATCTGAGATTAGTTCTTGTTGATTGAGCATTCTTAAGCGCTGCATTTTTTGATCAAAAAATTAAGTCTCTTTTCTGGGAACACAACGTTAAAACAATGATGATAACTCAGTGATGATATTACTATTTGATGCATGGTATGATGACCTATCCATTGGCTTAGTCTTATCTGAGATTAGTTCTTGTTGATTGAGCATTCTTAAGCGCTGCATTTTTTGATCAAAAAATTAAGTCTCTTTTCTGGGAACTCAACGTTAAAACAATTCAAAAGTACGCTGAGATTCTTGCAATTTCAAATGAGGGGCTTGGAGGGCAAAGCGCATAAATACAGCTTTTGCTATTTCGAGAAATACGTGTCTGAAGTTTCGAAATTACATGGATCCTCATGGATGAAAGAAAGTTTAAACTGACTTTCTGATGCTTTAAAATTGGAATTCTGGAGCGAATTTTTAACAGAATACGCATTACGACTAATTTTACTTGATATCATCAATAATATCTCAATTTTATCCAAAACTGCATGTATGCGCCTTGTCCTCCAAGCCCCTCGAATACGATTTTCAAGGGGAAAACTGCCTACTTCCCTTATTTTTGACGTTGGAATGGTAATAATACTCGGAGACAGTAACAAAAAGACCCTCTTTAACTCTCTGCAGGTATTTTCAAAAATAACTTCCCGTGTATGGAAGTATGAGAGAAAAATCGACCTCAATTTTTTCTCGTAGGTTGCAGAAAATGAAGGCATCGAATAAGAAAATCTTAAATTCGTCGGCATTCTTCAGGGTCTCCTCTTCTTTTTTCAAGGAAATTTAATGAACATTTTTTCAAGGGATTTTTGTCAGGGGCAGTAATTGAACACTTCACACTCTTGCGCTCAATTTACCCTTTTGGTAACTATATCTCTTTTCTTCTCCCATTTTTTGCTGTGTTAGTCGTTTTCTCAGTTGGGATTATACCATTGTATATTCTCTGCACGGAACCTGGCTCAAGAAAGGACTAATTTCTTCCATGCTGACTTTCACTGAATCGTTCATCATTTCATGTCTTCTTACGTTTTCTTGCAGCTCGAGAGAAGATCAGGGAACGAATCGTGACGCTGTCGAATCTGGTCACTCGCACAGCCCCGTGGAAGATCAAGCACTTGTATGAATCCTGTATGAACTTGGAAAACGTGGAAACCGATGCAGAAATGCCACTCACCAAAATTCTCTCAGAGTTAGGTATGTTCATGGATTTTGGATATCATTGTCTTTTCTTCTGTGATACGACGTGCCGATTATTTAAAGTTACAATTTCAGGATTCTCCTAAAACGTCTCCGAAAAATTTAAAAGATGAAAGGGAGAATCTTGGTTAACCATTGGATGAACACACCGAAGCGACTTATTTTTCCCCCTTAAAAGATTATAAGTTTGGATAAATGGAACGAAAGACTTTTTTTCTATGTATATATAGGTGCGTGTGATGGAGGGGGGGTTGAGGGAGAAAAGATTAATTGGAAAATTCAAAGTACAACGTATTACAGTAGTTTAAACCTCTTTACTTGTTGTCACTCTACATGTAACCTGATCTTTTACCAGGAAAACCACATTTTTTAGTTTGTGTTGTTGCAGGCCTTCGCATTAATTTTATTTTTTTAACTAAAAAACTAATCAATGGATTAACATCTTAAGAGATTCCTTGATTTTTTCTCTTAGTTTAAAGAATTTGTTGCAAAAATTGCAAGCAGTACAAAATTCTTGTTTCGTTTTTAAAAACAAGACAAGAATGGAAATTTCAAAATTGAGTTACTTTCACGGTCCTTGGGTCTAGAAAGGGATGCACCATGTATTACATTATTTATTGTGCTCATAGTGCCATAGATTAGTGTGTATATCATTGTAAGAGATTGTACATTTCCATGGATTATATCATTTTGGACTTAAAAAAGTGTGTCTTTTTCAGTTGCATTTCTTCATTGATCCAGCCATTGATCTATCTTCAAACATTTCCATGCTTAATATATTTTTTTTTCCTACCTGAGCAATCAAATCTGTGGAGAAGCTGATTTGTTTATTAAAGTTGTAATTGAAGTCCTTCATATTCGTGTTAACGTATCCTTTTGCTCGGTGTTTCAGGTGGTTGGAAAGTAATGAGAGACGTGGAAATCAAAACCTGGGACTTGGTGAAAACCATGAGAATTTTGCATTCTGTTTACCGCATATCTCCTTTCTTTGAAATTTCTTTGACGCCTGATCCTGAATTCCCTTCAAAACATGTCATACAGGTTGGAAATTTACTCGAAAACTTACTTCTAAATGGTACTTGCCTATTTTTGAAGGAAAAACATCCTCCAGAAAGAGATTTTAATCTAAGGAGGCTATCTTTGTCAAGTTAGGTCAGACGTTAAGTTTTTGAGTCTTCAATGGAAAATCCTCTGCGATATCCCTTAGAATAAGTTGCAAGTGATACAGTAACTTTTTTGGTCAATCCTAGAGAGGGTTTTGCTTTGTTATTCTACGTCTTTGAGTCTTGAATATGACAGACTAATACTTTCATTGGTGTTTTCTCTGAAGCACTTTTTTAGGTCTGCAAATTTCTAAGCAAATATTGATTTGAAGGGTATCTACAAGTCCGGAATTTCCGAAAAGTCCTGAAATTGTATTGATTTTGTAAGGGCAGTCCGGAAGTACTGAAAAAGTGCGGAAATCCTGTCAGAGGGTCCGGAATTTTTTTCATTTTTTTGTTGTTTCTGTCGTAATTTGAGCGAGAAACTTAAATTATTGAAATTTTTCGAATTTCGTCAATTGGAGGTACTGAAAAAGTACTGAATTTTTCTGTTGAGGAGGTACTAAATTTCTTGGGAATGTACTAAAAAAGTACTGTAAAAGTACTGATTTTTGGCTAACCTGTTTTAGTAGACACCCTGTTTTGAGTTTTTCAGTGCTCAGGTTGTTTTTCCTTTGGATGATCTCAAATATTTTACAAAACAGAAGCACAATATTTGCAATTCAGGTTCAGATTGAAATTTTATAAGCTCTGACATTTTTGCATAGATACTTAGTTTTAACCTCCTGGTGCGGTGTCCTTCCTTAATTAATTTACCATATACTATCACTTTGAATAGAATTGTAGCTTGTGGCCCCATGTTTAATGATTGAAATGCTGATTGGTTTCAGCAAAATTCAATCTGGGCATCAAGCACCTATCCACTCCTCCCTAATTTGTCTGTGTGATAAGTCAGGGAATTTTGATCTGGAGAAAACCTGGAAAATTTAGAGAATTGTTTCTGGCCAAGTTTGTAGATACCCTGCCAAGTGTCATAACTTAATCTTTATCTAGGCATTGTTTATCCCGATTTTGGTGAATTGCTTGCCCGAAACGAACATTTGTTGCTTGTTGATGAAATTTGAACCAATATTAAATTCTCTTTTCTCATTATTTTCTCTCATTTTAGGTGCTTCCTGCAGGCCTTGGTCTCCCATCGAAAGTTTACTATGAACACCATAATTCTCCTGTAAGTTTTTTTTTTTCTGCCTTACTTTTGATTTTTCAGTATGTCCTCTCTTCAAAGTTTCAAGTCTTTGAAATAATCAGTCTATGTATGAAGTTGTAAAAGTATTTGCATATCCTTGAGCTCTGAAATTTGGGTCTAATTCGTTAGACTTAAATAACCGGGAGTAAAATGTTTGACAACTTACTCAGCTGAGTAGGCTTGATGGCATTTTTTCAGAAATTACTCGCTGCCAAGTACCCTAGTTTTTTCTTGTGAAATAAAAAATAGATGCCTGCCAAACATCTTGATATTTACTTACTAAGTCCCCAATTTTTTTTAACTAACAATATCAGTAGGCCAGGCACTATCTTTGATTTTAACCTAGGTTTTATTAATGTTTACTTTGTTTTGCAGGTTGCATCAGCATACAAGCAGTTTATGAAAGACGTCACTTTGAAACTTAATGCAATCAGCACTGATGCTAGAACTTTTTCCGAGGACATGTTCGGATTTGAAAAAAGGATCGCAGAAATTATGCCCGACAGTATTCATCCTTTAAACATAACTGTCTACAACAAAAGAATTACAGTTGGAAAGCTGAAAGAAATCGCTGCCATGGTAATAAATGTTGACAGGATAACTTTCTTTTCTTTGAAATTGTTCATCTAAATTTTCCCTCTTACTCAAATTTTTTCATGTAAAAATATATCGCCAAGAGAAATGGGAAGGAGGGACCAACTAAACAAAATCTGACAGATGTTAGGTTTAGTATTCCCTAATGTGTCAGTAAACCCAAAATGAGTTCTGTCCAAGTCCTAATTGAGTTTGTTCTCTTACACTTTTGAGAAAGTCATGTCAAAAGTATAATGAAATTTCAAACATTGAATGGCCATGGTTTTTTGGTCATTTGGCTTGTTTGCTTTTGAAATTCACATTATTGAAACTCTTAAGGGAAAACAATGGTTTTAGGAACATCTTTTTAATTTCCTCTCTCTTTTTTTCGTGCCAGGTTCCTCTTCAAGAAATTTTGATTGCAAAATACCCCAATGCACAAATTGACGACAATACTCAACTTATTGTGCCTCATGTTGAATACCTACAAGAGATCTCAAAAATTATCTCAACAACTGATCGAGGGTACGTTTTTTTCTCTCAATTTATTTGGTTAATATTTAATTTTTTTTGTTAACAGGAGATTTTTGACTTTATTTTGTCGTTTCTTTGTCTTTTTTTTATTTTTATTATTTTTAAACCAATTTCAAGTAGCCTATCGGCTAATCGCACGCTTATTACCCCAGCCCCAGGTGACCATTGCCTGAGACCATCAAACTTAGGTCACCTGGCCGGGAATCAAACCAAGGACCTCCTAGTCATAGGGCCAGTGCTATAACCACTACACCACATGAGGCTGACACTACTCCACATGAGGCCGACTGTCTACTTGTTGTGTGTGTTTTTTTTTGTTGTTTAAAAACCACAAAATCACTCGTAATCAGCTCTTCTAGTGGTATGGTTTGTTTAAAATTTGATCAAGGAATCCATTACATACTTATATGTCTTATATTGCTCACTGTACTTCATTCGTTTAACTCATTGTTATTCTTACAGGTCACTTAACAATTACCTCCTATGGAAACTGACATCAGAATATGTTGGCTACCTATCTGAATCTTTTCAAGAGTTGGTATCCATTTACAAGAAAACTGTCACAGGTAAGTTACCTACTAAATGTGGAAAGAGAAGCAGAGATAGAGAGAAAAAAACATTTTCTCTACATGAAATTTTCTATTTTTCTTGTAATATTTCGAAAGAACAATAAACGTTTTCCATGTATGCAGAAATATTCTCATTAAATGAATTAAAAATCATGAAGGTTTTGAGGTGCAATGTATATTAAAATACAAAATCAGCTATCTAGCGATTTGAGGTTACTTTATAAACTTTAACCAGTTTTGTGTGTTTTCTGAACTCAAAGGAGAGCCTCTTTGGCACGCTACATTCTGGGTATACCTATTTAGTGTATTATAAATCATAGCCGCTAAGAGGATCATTTTAAAAATTAAAAGGTGTGTTTTTTTGTTTCTGTCTCTCAGGAGAGGAGAAAATTCCGGAAAGATGGGAATTTTGTATTGAAACAACTGAAAAATTCATGAGCTTTGGCCTATCTGTCCTACTGGAAAATAGCACCGAAGACAAAGACCTGAAAACCAAAGTTGTAAGTAATCTTCCTATAGCTGCCAATTCTTCAAAACTGTTTTGTTCAAGCAAGGACCACATGGAGAGGTTGAATTCCTATGTTTCAGTGATTCGTTTTTCAGATTAATCAATTTTTCAGTTAGTAGCTTCTGTTCCTGGAATATTTTCCCCTTAGTCTCCAATTGTTTCAGTCAAAATAGAAGAAATATTTAGCAAATCTCATTAAAAGACCTTTGAAGGAATTTAACAAATGAGACTCGTACCGTCAGTCTTGACGCCAGGTTTGTGAGGGATATTTCCTTGCATTCAAATGAAAGAGATAGAAAACTGTATCTTGTATGCATGCAGAAATCTGTTAAGTCTGAAAATAATGATGAACTATACATTGGCAGTGAAACTCCTAAACCATGTATCTTGTTTGCGGCGTTTTAAAATCTACGCTAGTATTTTATTATTTCAAAAGAGAAAAAAGTAACGTTATTCCTTGAGGTTTTATCAGAAATTTTTTTGCACAGAGAAGAAATATCACGGCCGTTTTCAAGAATTGTTGTTGAGTAGTTCTCCATCAAAAGAATAAAGTAAGACAGGATGTTTGCAATATTACAAACTGCGATACATGGTTTGGGAGTTTCACTGTCCCAAAAGATGCGAGTAAATTTTGGACACGCGGTGGCGAGAGACGAGTGAGAGAAAACTGATGTCGTACGGCACTCAGAAGACCGAATTTTGGAAAACTGAAACTTTTTAAAATGCTGCAAGTACGAAAATTCAAACGCTTTTTACAGATTTAAATTATCTTTATTAGTTTAGAAGATATGATATGTTACTTACTTTACGAATATCCCTCGCAGATCACCAGAATGTCATCAGGTTTGTATTGTTGAGATACATTTTGTTTTTCAGTTCGAATTTCTTAGGAATTTTTTCTAAGTTTGATACTTCTGGGTCTTGTTTTTATTCAATGCTTATGATTAATAATTTGTTTCTTGCAGGTAACTGACACATTTCACAATATCAAAAACACAATTAAAAATAGTGTTGAAGGAAGAAAGTGGCCGGGAAAAGAACTGCAAAGCCATGTTTTGGAAAAGGTATGTACTTCCCTGTAAAGAAAAGAAAGATTCTCCTGTATTTGAGAATACTGTTTGAATTTCTTTATCTAATTTCACTTTTTCTTTTACAAAACTCAATACTTCGATGAACTAATTTCAGTTGCAATCAAGATGCGTAAATTACAAATTCTTTTTTTTTTAAATTTTATTTTACAAATGAAAGTCAACATGTTTTTCCTGGATGATTTCTTATACCGACTTTTATTATTTATATCTTAAATGTGTCATTTTTTTCTTTTTTTGTACAGCTGTCATCATTGTCCTTACAAGTTGGTTACTCACCTTCTATGACGGGTAGTGAGTATTTAAACGAGTACTACAACAAACTATTTATTGTGAAGAACAATTTCTTTACAAATGTACTCAAAGGTATGCTGTTTCTCCAAGAAGAAGAACAAGCTCGTCTCATCTCCACAGCAGAAGAATATCGGTAAATTGCTCAAACATCAAAAGCATTTTCTCCAGAAGTGTTAATTATTATTTCCTCTTTTTTTTCCTACAGTTTAATTGGCTTCTATTTCTGTTTATTTAGTAACTAAGGAATCTACAGCTACCTATAGACATGAGTTTTAACATATTTTATTGCCAGTAGACATCAGGGGTATTTTGGCACATCCATGCTCCGGCTCTCAAATTTTCACGGATTAAGGTTGAGTAGAATCTGTTTCTGCAGATCCACTCATCAGTTCCATGAAAATTTGTCACCACCACTGGGATTCAAACCAGGGACCTATTGGTCTAGAGTTAGACCCGCTGACTGCTAGGCCAACTTGGCCGGCTATTATTTCCTTTGATTTTTGATATTGTTTGTTGAAGAGCAAAGATGACAAGAAAGGGGTGCTGTCAAATAAAACATCAAGCATCTTTACCATTTTGTTGGAATATAATTTTTACCTTATCATAGAGTAAGAGAACAAAAAAACCAGTTTGGAGCTTGTTACAGAAAGTTTTTAGGCAATTTAATTTTTTTTCTTTTTTTTTCAAAGAAATGCATTTCCATATTTTATATTTGTCTGAAGGCTTTGTAGCAATTACAAATTGGTCGCCAAGGGTAATATTTGAGCTGTTTTCATTTGTAGACTCGAAGACATTTTTGGGCAGTCTAAAACTTAATTTTGGAGTGGTTTATGGACAAGAATACCAAATTCCTCACACATGCCCTCTATAAGTACTTTTTTCTCCCCCCCCCCCCCAAAAAAAAAAAAAAAAGATCACATAGTTGCAAGTATTTTTTCCACTAGGATTTGTCTATTTACCTGCGCACAGTCGATAAACTTACTCACTGGAACTCACGGAAAGGCTTATCTGCCAATAGACTGATTTAGTGACTACGTCATTCGATATAATATTGAATTCTTGGTTCAAAACAAACGAATATAACTTCATGTACGAATTCTTCATGAGTTAATTGAATTAATTTGTTAAAATTTAGTCATTGACTGGTCATAAAACAGTTAAATACTCATGAAACAAGAGAACTTTTGATTGTAAGAAACACTTGGAAACATATTACCTCCGTTGCGCAAAGGGTACAAATCAGAAACAAGGTTTCATGTTAGTTTACATTTGAACCAAGAGTTGGATATTATATCGATTGAAGTAGCCACTAAATCAATCTATGGTCACTTAAAACACACTCAACAGACATTTGTAAGAATTTGTAAAATTAAAATAATGTGTTTGAAAGCTTTAGGGGTCGTAGGTATCGATTTTACATGTCCTTTTATATTACCTGCCCTTGACCTTGACGCATATTTTTGAAGAAGCTAATGTTAGGCCATTACTATATAAGCCTTGTTTCCTACACTAATGGATTTTCTCCTTTTTATCCTCTCTTTAGATGGATTGATATCATGTCAGCATCTGTACCAGCAATAGGGTACTCAATTCCAGCCAATAAAGTCATCGTCCCGCATTCACTACTGGTGGAGCCTAACTTTGATGCCAATTATATGTTGTAAGTACATCACATGGTTAGAAAATATTAAACCTTGACTTCATCTCAGCAGTTGGCGCAATCACTCTTTTGAGTCTTATACTTCCTTGCCGAGGAAAAGCACTGTTTGCGCTTTTAAATGTCATCAAACTTTTTGATTAAAATATTTATTTTTTAAAGGAAAGCTGCGAATATATTTTTGTGAAATCAAAAACCAGATGGAGTGCAGTTCAGAAATTCTCTAAAAAATTAATTACTGAATTGCAATTTTGTGACCCATGTGGTGTGACATGTTTTTAGTCTCAAAAATTTGTACATATTTCAATATTTACGTTACATACTTTAATCCTGGTAACAGTTATATTGATACTATTTTTTATCACTTGTTTTGGTAGACCTATCCTCTATGGTGGTTTTGGAGTCGAATTAAGCGCTGCTATACTTTCGTCGGTGACACCGTGGGGAGTTCTTCATAGTCGAGATGGGACCCTACTCAACCCAGAATATCCAGCTGTGAATCAGTCATATGCGTATGTTACCAAAGCTCAGATATGCTTGTCCACTACCTTTGCTAGCAAAGTCATTTTGAATGCTGGCCGATCTATTCTAGAGACACCATATCAATACTCAACGCTTTTAGCTATTTCAGCGCTGGATCAAGCTTTTAAGGTATTTTCCTCTCCATGTAGTTTTCATTCTTTGCAAAGGGGCCTGTTTATCAAATTAAGAATTTAAATGTAAAAGGTCAAGCGAAAGTAATACTATCATGTAAATTATAAGGTAAAAAGTTCCCGGTTTGACTGAAAAAACCTTACTATCAGACAATTGGAAAATTTTTTAGGCATGCATTACATGATTATCTTTGAATGTTTGGCTGCTAAATCCAAAAATACCTTAGCTTTCCCCTCTCATGCATCAGTTTTCATCAGAAAAGCCCGTTTTTGGAGGATATTCTCAATTCCTTGGAAAAATGGTAGGTTTAGGGAGAGACTAAAGTCCATTTTTGGGCTCGGGGCTTAATTCCAACAGTTTTGAATTTTTTCTCTTTTTTTTCCTCTTTTTTTTGAGTGAAACAGTTCAAATTAACGTAGCTAATGGTGTTTCTGTGTTAATTTTCTTATAGGCTTTAAAATTCGAGCTGAGTAAATCGACACGGATGTATCAACCAGCAATGGAATCATACAATAGTGAAGCCTTATTTTTCATCACATATGCTCAGGTAAACCCATATATTTGTCTCTAAGAAATCATAAAACAATGTGAAGTCAGTTTCAGAAGTTATTTTTGTGCTACAAAAGCTTTAAAAAACAGCCATTGTTCAAATCGAACCAAAAATAAAGTCTCGTAGTGCCTAAGAGATGGAGCAGCACCTTTCCGGCTGGCGCAGATGGAGCAGTTTTGGATCTAAGATGATCTCATGTACTCAGCTTCAACACTTACATTCACTTTCAAACTCATATCTAGCATTTTAATTGATATTTGGACCGCAATAAGCAGAAAGGAACCAAGCCACCTCAGCTATTGCCAACTTTTTAATTTTATTATTTAATTATTATTTAATTGGGCAACATAATTTTAATTTATTACATGGAAACGGTTGTGCGGATTTTTGAGCAAATTTCAGTGAATTTCCTGCTTAGCACGAAGCGAATTCTTCAAAATTTTCCAAGGAATCCGCAAAAACGTGCTCTTGTAAAAAAATTAAATTACCCAATTAAATTTGGCAATAGCTGATGTGGCTTGCTTCCTTTCTGCTGAATGCGGCCCATTTTTGAGTTCGGTCTACAGCATTTAGCAAGTTTTTAGCTCTGCAATCAATGTTTGTCATTATCTCTACAAAGATTTTTGGGTTGGCGTCCCTTTTACTTTTCCTATTCTCTTTGTTCATTGTGAAAAAGAGGTTTTAAAAATAAACAGTGGATCCTCGATTGAAACCTGTCAAACCTAGTGTTTTCTAAGTCTTTGTATACGACTTGAGTCCAATAGATGATTTATTTTTTAATTTTTAAGGAAACAAATTTCTTTGAAGTCTGAGAACCCCATACTATTTTTCTTCTTTGTTACAGTCCATGTGCACAGTGAAAACTACAGAGCGGAAGAATTTAGATCACACTCTTGACACTTCATTGGAAGACTCTCAGTTGTAAGTCATGATACATAATTCATCTCAAATCTAACCAATTTTTTTTTTCCGGGCCAGCTGTGCATACAATGGTATTAGTGTGTTTGCAAATGGTGAGCACTTTGAAAGCATCAACATGAATTAGGCTGTAATGGAGGCTTTAAGTGTGATTAAGTCCATGGAATGCTAACAGAGAACATATGTCAAGGGTTATAAGGATCAGGAAAAAGCCTGAGAACTTTTAATGTAAATTGGCAAATTTTGATGGAGAGGGTTATTGTGTGACAGCGATAGGCATTGCCATGTATGATTATTGCGGTTAAGGAGAGTTTTTCAGTGTTGCCCAACTGGCAATGATTCGGCCACTCGCAGCATTTGAATTATGCCTGCAATCTGCAACGCCTAGCCGCTTGCCAAGCGAACGTCATCTTTGTATTGGAGTTGAGTGAATGCACTTTTTGTCAAGATCCATAATAATCTTAAAAGTTGGGAAACCGAAAAAATTCAGAGAATCAGATAATATGGGAAAACCAGGGGAATCAGATGGTGTAAGAAAACCTAGGGAATTTTTGGATACCACAAAGAATTATCTGATTGTGGTTTTGATTTTTCTTTTTCAGGCTAGAAGTGGCTCTTGGACAGGTGAAGGACTTTTCGAGCACGTTTGGATGCGATTCAGAATCCAAGTATTTTGCTCAAGACGTGTGTGAAGTAATGCTGTAGGCATCATCATGCCTAGAAAAAGGATTTGGCTCTGAATCTCAAGGTTCTGTAGCTCTTTAAGACTTTTATCATCTCCCCGCAGAAGGGTTTCCTAAACTCTCAGAGTTCAATCGGGTGCTGAAAATAAATCTTCCCGAAAGTAGCACTTTCCGAAATCATTTCTAAGACTTTTTAATTGATGACATGACATAATACTGTCAGTAATTTCAGGGAAGAGAGTTTCCTTGCTAAAAGTATTTTCTTATGAATGTCCTCACTTGCATCAGGTGCCAACGCTTGATAGCATCTGGAAAAAATTTGTTTTCTAAAGGACATTATCGCCAATCACTTTGATATTTTAGAAATGAAACTAAATAGCTTACAAATTATTTCTCCCTTTCAAATTTCCATTTTACTCAGTTGTTGACTCAAAAAGACAAGGAATTTACCTTTTTACTTAGAATGAAAGGTCGTCATATGTACAAACTGGTGAAAAAATTTTGTGATATTTTTCTTTTAAACTAGGAACAGTATTTATTATTTGTATTACTTAACAATTATCTACTTAATAAAATGAAAATTCATGTACTTAATGCGTTTACGTATCATAAGCTTCATGGGGCCAGTTTTTTTGTGTGTCCCAAGCATACTGGTAGTTTAGGCGTAAGTACAAATGTATTATTGGAGTCATATTCCTTTCTATTCCGCTGTCTCTGCTAGATACTAGAATTATGAATGTTGCATTGTATCTCTCAGAGACCTCCTCATTTTTCGTAAAAGCAAATTGGTAAATTTTTCTATTTTTCTAATATAATGTAATTATTTATCCTTTTTTTTTTATTATTATTTTATTTTTTGTTACGTACGTACTATGTCCCAATTTTTTGTTTGCTGGTCTCGGAAATTAAAGTATTTCATTTGATTATGATGAGATTTGCATTCCTTCAATTAGGAGCTACCATCTTGACATGTGATTTCATGTAATTGATTACATCTGTAGAACATAAATGGTTTTTTCTCTTAAACTTCATCAGGGGTGAGATTTGATTAAAGCTCAACAATATCACTTGTTTCGGAAAGGGCAGACATCTCATCTAACTTGTAAAAATTAATTGCAAATAATTGGGGGTATATTATTCCCTGATAAGTGGCCTTGTTAAAGAATTCCTCCTAGTCTAGACTGAATTATATGACGCTTATAAAACTTTATATTATTGGTTTTCTGTAGTTATTGCATTTCATTCATTTGTTTTTTGATTGCAAGGCTGTTTTTGCATAAAGAAATTCGTTTTTGCCTTAATTTTTCAACCAGTGAGTAATTTTTGCTTAGTTGTTTCCTATTTGTATCGGCATGCCCTTGTCTATTTTAATATTTGTCATATTTTTTAATCTGTGGATATTTTTTAAATTTTTTATCGGTAACTTTAAATTAGTGATAATTTCATTAGATTGGTTTCTCAAAAGACAGTATTTGTAAAGTATGTGTAGGTAAAAAATGAGGAAAAAGTAAGCGAAAGTTGGTTCATCACCCAAGTCTTGACTCTTGTAAGTGAGGTGCTATTTTTTTTTAACCAATCACTATTTAGCGGCCTCTCATTTATTCCAATTATCACCCAACGCAATAATTAAGTGGAAATAATATTTTTTCTGCTAGCTTTTCTCAGATTTTTTCCTCCTTTTTTTTCAAAGGTAGTAGGTTTTTTATTCCTTCATTCATTTCACTGAAAGAAATTTTTTTTAATTACGATGATGTAAAATGTGAAGGATTTTGTGGATGATAAAAATGGAAACATTTGCAGTTAAAAATGTATTCGGACGCTTACAGCAAAAATGAACTTATCTAAACCTATTAGGTTGAATGTCGGTTGGAAAACGTCTGCTTTAGCTTTCAAAAGTCTAATCCGTAAACATGACCTGATTATAAATTTGCTTTTTCATTTGTGCTAGTTTACAAATGTTCCAAAAATACATGTTCCTGCATTGGATTTATAGCTGTATTTTGCGAAAATGAAAGGAGAAAAATAGCTCGCTCTGTCGTTCGAGAGGCCTCAAACATTTAATATTTTATCTACATTGTAGCTGCTTCAGAACTACCTTCTTTTTTGAAAAAATTATGTTGCCTTAGGCCAAGTGTGACTGACACCCCGAGGAATAAAATACCTAAGACTTTATTTCAACTCATAGTGAGTTTTTATTTTTTTTTTTTCTTCCGAACTCAAAAATCATTGCTAAATTTTCTCGTCCCCTTTGGATAAGAACTTGTTGGTAAACATTTTTGAAGGTAATAATGTATTCAAGTCAAGTTTTTTGGCTTATTTAGATTGTTAATGCTCGCTATGACATTTATTTTAGACAGTATTCTTTTGTGAAAATCATTTCCTCTAAACAATGTATATAAGTGGCAATAACAGTTTTGCCTGTATAATATGTCTTAAATTTTACCTGTAGGATGAATCAATATTAGAAGTGAACTGTGCCCATTTTATAATGCATACACTAAAGGCACTTGTATCAGACTGAGTAATACTTGTAATTGTAAGCTACTTGATACAGATTTGAGATGAGTAAGTTAATTTAGGTACTCAATTTGATACAAATTCAAATAAAATTGAAAAGATAGATCAGCTCCCCTAAATTAGCAGATCCAAAGAGTGGAAGGCCCTGGCTTTCTACAAGAAAAATTTTCAAGTTTCAGAAAGAACAAATCAAGATTATTGTTTTTTGTTTGTGAGCTTTAGTTCTAATAGAATGACCTGCATTAATTGTACGGCTGATATTTCTATGTCAGACTCAGAGATACTTATCAAGTTTCAATGCCTAATCAGCTGTAAGATGATGCCTGCTTCCAGATCTCTTTAGTTTCTTTGCCATGGGAGTATATGCGCTGGAGAGCAACTAACAATGACAATCAAGTTTTTTTTAATTATTGGTATTCTTCAGCGGTCATCAGATGAAAACTGATTGTTTACAAGGAGCTAATATCAGCTATCTTTCCCTGAAAAATCTCTTTTGAAAACCCTAAATTTAAACTATTACCATCCAAACATTAACTTTGCCCTCTACTTCCAATTAAAAATGATTTTTGGGCTTTGCAAAGTATTGGTTAATTTCTTTTAAGGTTTCAAAAATGATCTTTTTTATAGCTGAGATGTGCTCCTCACTGAAGTAATGTCTTTCGCTAATCATACAAAATAAAGTATATTCTTTTTTTTTCTTTTTTTTAAATATTTTGATGTTTGTTCACTTCTCGTATGGATTTATCTTTCAATGAATCGTTTGTACTTAAGTTTCATGAAAAGATCAAGACTGTTTGTAAATAAACTTCTCTTTTTTATTGGTACCTAATTTTATAACATTCATTTAAAAATACCATTTTTCATGTTTTTAATTTTTGTATACATACTTACAACAATTTTATCCTCCCATTGTATTAATGTACTAAGCCTTCATTATTGCCTCCATACTTTCATGGAATAATCCAGATGATAACCCATTAATCATTAGATATTGGATATCAGATATGCAATTATCATTTTATCTACATATTTGTAAATGATATCACAAGTGAAATAAGGCCTAGGTCCTTACAGGTAAGAACCCAATTGACGTTTTGTGAGCAAGTATTATTGGATCTCATCCACAAGCTTGTGTGCTCAAATAATTAAATCTGCTACTGTGAGTTAAAAAATTTGATTTTCTCCCTTAAAAAAACACCAAGTAGTGGCCCATCTTGGGTTCCTCTGGTATTAATAGGTTTATCATGGTAGGAGGAAAACAAGTATGGATATAGAACCAAATTGCCTCTGATTGGCCTGTCTGACTTGGAAGCTTGTCTACAGGAGCTTTCAGCTTTGTCAATTTGTTGGAATAGGACTATCCAACGCATAGTTTGTGTGTAGAGCTCTGCCAAATAGAGGTAGATCAAATTGCTATATCACAACTGAAGGATTTCTTTTCCCATGATGGTTTGCTGCAGCTGTCTATACCTTTTCTTTTACCATGGAGTCCATAATATGAGGAGATTAAAAGTCAATCAGCACAATAATAAGAAATTCAAGTTTCAGAAGGTAACTCAAATATTTATTGGCGTAAAACTGATAAAAAAGAGTGTTGAGTGCAAGCAGTAGCTTGGCTCCTTTTTTGCCACCTCAATCTTTATATTTTCCTAAAAATATTGTCAAAGATGTGCTCAACGGTTTTTACTTTTAAGACTTCAATCCATTAAATTTTGAATATTTTTAAGGCAATAATATGATTCTTTAATTGTGTACAAGAATGTAAGATAACCTAATTCATCTCGCCCAGTTACTTACTTCAGAAGTAAGGAATCAACGTTTCATTTGTATTGTATTTTTACTTATCAAACCAGTGCGTTTAACTTACTCACTGAGGAAATAAGTGTCTTATCTCTTCAAGTTTTTGCTTGTCTTTTTGTATTTAACTTAGCAGACAATATGAAAAGATTGTCTCACCCGTCCGGTGTTGCTTTTGCTCTTTTAGTCTGTGAAGTTAAATTTTTTTCTAAAAGTTCACACATGTTTGTAAGTAAAGATATTACATATCCTGAACGATTCTCAGCCTTGTTGGTTACTGACTCGTATCAAAGCCTATTGTGAGTCGTTTACTGTTTATTTTCGATATTTAGCTATCTATTTCCTCTGAGCTTTTTTTTCTTTATTTTTAAGGAAACTGTTCTTTGTTCAATATTTCATCCGTCCTGTTTTAGTGCAACATGAACTATTCCTTTTGTTCATTGATACTGGTGCATAATCTAAAATACACTCTGAGGTGTAGAAAACATTCATTTTAAGTACTTTTAAATAATGTAGATTGTGTAAAAAAGTTAAGAAATAAACTTGTAATTTTTTCCTTTTAGCAAGTAGTAAGTCAGTTTATTATTTGTCACTCGAATCACTCTTGGGTCATTCCTAGTGAAACTGGGTAAACTCCCAGGTTTGGATTATACTCTAGTCGCCAGACTTATTATTGAAATTAAGTTGTTGTCTACCAGACAAAAATAGACTAAGTTAAGATGGAGTTTCATTGGTGGGCAATATCTTTCAGAATTTCAGATAGAATAGTTGGTTAGCTCAGCTGAGTTTTGCAGTTATGAAAGGATATTCGTCGCTCATCCATTGAAGCATCTATCTGCATAGGGAAACAAATGACTTGTATGTTGTTCCTAAAATGAATCAAAAGAAGTTGTTCTGCAATGCGAAATGTGAAAAAACAAAGTGTGCGATTGCTGAGTGCCAAGAGATTTGAGTCCAACCTACAAGCCCTGAGTCAGTTTACTTGGCATTGCGAAACTGGTTTCTTGTCATGGAAAATGCTTAAAGCTGGAAGGACATTTCGTGGAAAAGTAATTTAAGTGTTAGAAATGCTATAATACAATTCCATTTAATTTCTTTAACACATTCTTTGGTCAATTACTGAACAGAAAAGTATACTGAGCGGAGCAAAAATATTTCTCATTTTCGGAGGGAGACATTGGGCACGCAGCACTGATGAACGCGCTGCGTTCGGACATAAATGCACGGATCTTTTTGGAATTTTGGGAGCTTGTCAAGTATATCCTAAGCTTTCTAAAAACCTATCGTATTTAAAAATTGGATGAATTTTGTGGAAATGGCAAGGGGGGTGCAAAGACTGAGTGAACGTCCTTCGTATCTCAATCCTCTTACGATTCATTTTTGACAGTTTTTTATTTACATCAATGGCTAAAAGGAGATAGATTCCACATACCTCCATCGCATTGATTCGAAATTGCAGCTTCTAACTTAATCCTTTAAAGAAAAACTAGCCAACTTTATATTTGAAATTTATGCATAATATTCTGTTAATAGAGATGAAAAATCAAGGAAGTTTTCAAGAAATTTAGTTGACTAGTTTTCAAAAGAAAAACACTGTATGACAGGAAGTTTGCAACGTCGCAAATGCAAAGGTGGCTTCCCACTTTGACCTTCAATATTTTCGCTAATATGTCCAAATTGACACAGAAGTAATAAATAACAAGACAATGATTGAGTACATCAATAAAAATTATTTTTATTTAAACTTAACATTTGAGTGAAAGCAATTGCAAAAGTTTGATGAGAATTAAAACCATCCAGCAGTAAATGCATAAAACAGAAAATGCACAGAGATAAATAAATAAACTAAAACTATGAATGTGCTTGTTATGGTAATGGTTCAGAGAGATTAAAATTTTTCTTGTACAAGGTATCCAAATTGACCTTTCTTCTTCTGCTGACTTCTGAATCATTCTATTTACTGAGATAGTGTAACTACAGGATGGGCATTACTTTTAGAGCCCATGCCCAATAAGTTTATGCACTTCTGTACTGCAACAAAAGATCATCTAACGTCACTTTCACAAGTAAAGTGCGGTCTAATAGTGCGTAAACTTATTTCGCTTGGACTCTGGCAGGACTAAAATTTCCGGGGTTTACCTAAAAAGGGGGAAACGAGCCTTCACTCTGGATTCTGACGCCATCTCCTTCAATGACAATATTATTAGAGGGATTACAAAAAAATCGTACAGCTTAACCAGCCATCTTAGTTGGTTAAACTTCACACCGTAGAATAACTAAAACATTTGAATAGTTCAACTTGCTTGATAAACTTGAACATGTTAAGGAGGGGTGAGCCATAAAACATTAGGTTGAGGCTTTGTATTTACAGTGTATTTTTTTCGAATAAAATAACTCGAAAAATTTTAGAAACTTTAGGACTGATTGCCATCAAGATACTAATGGATAGACTCTTCTAGTTCATACTGAGAGTTCCCCCTTCGAATTTACAGACTAAGAGTCATACATGATTTATTTTCTAACACAAGCAGATGTTATCTAAAAATAGTGAGTTGAGGCAACCCTACTGCTTACAAGATTTACTGCAGTTACTGCTGTTAAACTTTGTGTACACTAGGAAACATTGCTTATACCGACTCAGGAAGCTTAGTTGGTTCCTATTTTAGGGCGGAGAGGTCCAGAAGTTAAAAGAAGTGAAGACCAATTGGACTACATTTTGCAATTTGGAACTATAAATTCTAGCTCAGTTTAAAAACAATGTATGTGCCATTAGTTTCCCAATGCATATGAGTGTTTTTTCATATGAGCCAAAATTTATAGTTCCAAATTGCAAAATGCAGTCCAATTTTGGAATGCCTAGTATTCTAGGACGGAAGGGTCAAATGTTCCATCGAAAATTAATGTTTTCCTAACCTAGAGAGTTTCTTCATGAATTAAAGTAGGTATCAAGTGTTCCAATTACGAGGAGCATCTCGCATAAAATTTTGACGGGAAATTGAAACACAGGAGCCTATCTTAAAATAGCTCTCATAAAGATCTTTCTTGTTTACTTGCCTTCTGAAGCAGATCCAAACAAAAATGTAATAATTTGTACTTCTTTCACAGTTTGGCACAGAAATCAGACCATTACCAAAGTCTGACCAAACCCAGGTTTGTTTATATGAGTCTATACAGCCATCTTTATAACATCGGTACATAGTTACTAACAAATATTATTATGTAGCTACCTTAAATGAGCACCATAGCCTCAGAAAGTGGAGGCTTATCATTAAATTAATGAAAAAATATATCACAAGACAACACAATAGGGTAAAACTTTGATCATCATAAGAAAGTAGAAAAACCGACATACTAAAAGAAAAATGCAAACTTTACCGTTCATCATGTGGCCATGTAACAAAAGGCCATGTGTTTCTTGTGGCTTGCGCTGTATTCGGAATATGTGTTTAAGTAGGAATGTTCACATAAATCCTTGTAGGTGGGCTACACAGTTTGTTTCGAAATATCGATCACTTTGGTAAAGCCACTGTTGTCAGGAACAGCTGGAGTTATCGGAACTGGGAAGACTCCCAGTCAAAGAATTGTTGTCTCAAATTTCTGTCCGTGGGGTTGCTTGGCTCATAATACTGATAAACACGGCAACAGTTCATTTTTGCCAGCTCCGAAAACGTTGATAGCTCTCTGTAAGGGTCTTCTTCTCATTACTACTTTCTATTACGCACAGATTTCTGATCAAAACACAAGTCGTTTTTAGACAAAGTGACGGTGATTTACCACCGTGCCTTAAAATTCAGAAAGTACAACTGACATTCTCATTACAGAGGTAAAAAGCTCATTTAAGCATGATATTCCCTAATAGGGAAAAAAACTTGGTGTCAAGTTGTATGCTGATTGCTGAATTTCAACGCACGATGGTAAAACCACAAATATGCTATCTAGATACCACTTTTTAATAGAACTGTTTCAACAGCTTACCAAAAACCGATGAGACACTTCTATCTTCGAGTTTTTCATAACTTGTGATGAAATTTTCCCAAAGTTCATCTGAACACAATTCAAAGATCACAATCACATTAATATGATGACAATTCATCTTGCCATCTAATAAGATCTTTGATTTAGTTGTCTAAAAATACCTAAACCTAGTATGAAGTATTATTAGTGATGCTAGCACCAGCTACATCTTGCGTCAGTTTAGTTTCACTCATTTCATCTGCAAGTGCCTCTAAAATGGCTAACAGGAGTTCCCGACTGAGAGATCGTATTTTTGACAGCTTTGCCACCTGCACAAACAGAATGGATTCTAGTTAAAAACATCAACTTAAAAGGGACCGTTGAACATAAAATTGATTTGGCTGATATTATCACATTAATTGACAATTAATTTAGCTTTACGGTTGATGTTCCTCACCAAGTAAGACCAACTTTTGCCATCAAAGACCCAAGAAACCTCTGACAAACCTCTCAGGGGATACGGTGGAATATGATAGGGCACTATGCATGCCTGGTGAAATTGAGAATTCCCTTTGCCAAGGAATTTATTGACTTCTTCTGTAACTTTAATACAGACTCTCCCAACTAAATTACAGAGGACCTTCTTATTCGTCACTTCCAAACCCTCTAACATGGTGAAGTATAATGTCAAAATACTGAGTACTGGTTATTTGTAAGTACTAAGGGGCTATGCTCTCTGGCCAAGACTAAAACGGAACGAACGGAACAGAGCGTTTCATCACTTTTGGATAGTCTGTAGTAAAGGAGCATACCTTCGAGTCACTTGCCTTGCCCTACTAACAGATCAAGATTCACAATTTCCCACTTAGTTCAAATTTTGCCCCCTTTTCTAAGCTCCCTGGTATACTCTATTATAAAAAAATCTGGGTCATATTTCCAAAATCTGATCGGAGCAAACTTATCTAGGGACTACCACCTGTCAATAACCACAAAAATCATGGAAATCGAGTCAGTTGAACACTTCAACGAACTATGACAAACAATAAAAATTTACATTGTTTAAATGGGAGAATTTGCAACTCAACCACATAATATAAAAAAAACCTGGGTCATGTTTTCAAAATCTGAATAGAGCGGCCTCATTTAGAGACAATTGCCTGTCGATAGCCACAAAAATCATGAAAATCGACCCGGTAGAACGCTGGAACTAAGCGTTACCAGATATGCAAATTAAGGAGGTNAAATATTCGAAGATGTAAGAGAGCGCATTTCATGAAAGTGCCGACTTTAAATTTTCAGACCTTGACTATGGTGAACTGCATTGTGATAAGATTGCCATGAAATAAACAAGGGTTTTCAATATCCCTCGATCAGAACTTCTCCTAGCAATCAAGCATTTTGCGTTTTCTTCCCAAGGAAAATTTCTCCGTCTTTTTACTATCCAAAGTAATCCGCAAAAAAAAATTATCATATAAGAGAATTTTTTCATGACTTAATCGTGCCTTACACTTGCTAAAAATCTGACCTTCCATTGAATAGGGTACTTTCTAGGCACAGAATGGAGTCATGTTCACCTGTCTTCAATTATAACTGTTTTTCCACTCACATTTTGGTTTAAAAAAATCAAGAATGGTTCAATATAGCCTCAGGAAATTTTGAAAGAGTTTGGACAAAGCATTTAATAAATGGGGTCCAATTTTGCAAAGATAAAATTTTTGAACTATGGCTGGAACTTACCTGTAGTCTGTTATTAGTGAACCCATAGAAATAAGGAGCGCTGAAAAGGTACAATGAATCTTCAGTTGGCATATTCACATCAGCGTAATATATATACCTTAAGAGGGAGTCGAACGACTCTCTTGATGGCACCATTTCTCCAATTTGTATCTGCAACAAACGAATAATAAGACTAATGAAAAAGGTGGCATGTATATCTTCTTGGAGTGACTTTCTTCACAATCAATTAATATTGATGATGTTGCTTGGTCTACAACACAACTTTTCCTACCGGGTTTGAAGGCCTCCTTTTCCGCAGTTTAACTTTGTTCTTAATCTTCCTGTACTAATATTTTAGGGACTGCTCACAGTTTTGTCCTCATCTACCGCACTGAGTTTATTGGGCTTTTTTTTAATAGTGACTTTTATACAAGGAGTATTAATTGCTTTACAGTACTGGGAAGGTGAAATGGAATGAGGGTACTGAAAGGGACTTTTCTAAAATCTGTGAGCATTTCAAAAGAAAGCGTGTTTATATTAAACAAGTGTGTAAAATAAGAGGAATTGAAAGAGGAATTGAGTACAATATCAAAGCCAAGCGATTGCTTTGGTATAAACATGTGCAGAGGATGGCAAATGATTGGTTGCCAAAACAAGTGCTCGATTGGGTTTCTCCCGGAGGAGGGCAGCTTGGATGTCCCATATAAGGTAAGTAGGCAGCAGACGATGAAGGCGGAGATTAGAGGCTTTCATTTGCCTGATGATCTATGGAAGGATGGGTTTCGTTGGCAATTCGACAACGAAATTCCTAAATTGCATATCTACATTTGCGAAAGTGTTGACTTACTGTCTTACTTCATTTTTTTAATGGAGGACTACTCAACAACAATTCTCGAAAACTGCCGTGATTTTTTTTCTCTGTGCGAAAAAAATTCTGTGAAAACCCCAAGGAACAATGTTACTTTTCCTTCCTTTAAAAAAAATAAAATACTAGGGTAGAATTTAAAACACTGCAAAGAAGATACGTGGTTTAGGAGTTTCACCGTTAAATTGGGAGTTGCTGAGCCTCCCAGTTCACTGATTCTGCGCTGCCTTTGGTACAGATGTACTAAGACAGCACGCAATGATTTGATGCCAAGGAACTACACATGTTAGTGCTAACGGTCATGCATAAAATGACTCCTGTGAAGTTCCTTTCAATGTTAATGTATCAGAGAGCACCACGGAGTAAAAATAAAAATTTCAGTGCATGAAGCGTACTTACTTGGACAATATTATTTGCTGGCATGAATGAACGAAACATTGCCTCAAAGTAGCCGCAACGAGCTGCCAAAATAGATTTATGCGCCATGACAGGCACTCCATCTAACATTAATGTAATATCACAGAATTCTTTGCCAGCAGATTTCAATAACATCTCCATGTCATTCTCAAGAGAGGTCCCTGAAAACAAATGAGAAATCTTAAAGATGGAGGGAGTTTTTTACGTCAAATTTGGTTGAAAATACTTATTGTTTGAAATCCCTATGAGCCTTTGAGGGAAAAAACTTGAGATTTCATGCAGATGAAAGCTCCACATTTTTAACCTCTTGCAAAGGAAATTATCGTAACGTAGCTGTAAAAGAAGCTTCATGCTTTAAAAACGGGAGCACAAAGATGAAGGTCTTCCTTTTAATGTGTTCTAAAATTTTCCCTCCACATCAAAAACAAAAGAAAAAAAAGAGAAAAAAAGAGGAAAAAGAAGAAAAAAAACAAAGAAAAAAGGAAAAAAGGAAAAAAAGAAGAAGAAAAGAGAAAAACAAAGAAAAAAAAGATAAAAAGAAAAAAAAGAGAAAGAAGAAAAAGAAGAACGAAATATGAATGTATTAACAGGAACAAAAAGTTCTTGATGTGCATTTTTTACAGTCTCACCTTCGTACGTAGGTTCTTGGAGAAAAGTTTTATTGTGGAGAGCTGAATTCTGCGTTTGTTTCCGTCTTATGATTTCAACCATCAAAGTACGATCCAGTGTTTCAAACTCTTTGCTCATAACAATTTGATTGTAATTCGATTCCTTCACAATAAATTTAAGGCAATATTCTTTGATGAAACACAGGTTCAACAGTGATGCATTATGAAGAGCCTCCAAAACATTTTGATGATTAATGGTTGTTTCTAGATACTGCACACACAATTGTTCCAGTCTTTTCATGTCAAGCTGAAAAAAAAATAATAATATTTAAAATACAAAATACCAATAACAATCATTCAGATCGTGGTTATTGTTACAATATTTGGAGAATTTGACCAAAATCAGCCTCGCTTCATTTGACGTTATCCATTTCCCTTTCTTGTTCTTTGACAGGAAACTAAGCCATATTCTTATTGTAAGAACATTCTCTCCTATTGAGAGGAAATCCATAGAAAGTTTCAAGGCACTATTTTGTTTCATTCTTTGTTGAAAAGTAAAACATGAGAGGAAATACAGATGTGGGGGAGCAATGTATGCAGTTGAGGTGACATCGGTAAAATCCATTCATTAATCCAATGAAAATAACACAGACCTTGAAAAAAACTGAAACAAAATAAATTGATTTTTGATGATAAGGTAAAAGGAGAGAGATTTGTCATTTCTGAGATTTTTCTTACATGTTTTTGCATTTGAGGCATTATCATGCTTTCAGAACGACAACCTCCTTTGTCCGATCCAACCACCCGCTTCTACCAATAAGATCCCTCCATACCCTTTTTGTCCTATTTATCTATGGCTCTGTCTATCAATTTCAATAATCAGCCTGCTGTGTTCAAAAGAATTTGGTAGAAGTTTATTTACCTGTACTGCTAACTGATATACGTCCATCATCAAGAGAACTATTCGATTGCAAACAGGATCTTTGACTGTAAAAAAGGATGAAGTAAGAAACTATTTAAAAAGTGTCACCTACAAAAATTAAATGAAAATATAATATAAAATAGAAGACTGCTGCTTGACTATAGTTTTGGAAAATATATGACTTCAATGATTCAGGAACAAAGTACTACTATAAGTTTCCAGGATTGACCTGTTGCAGCTTGTTAGAATCTTTGTCTAAGACTAAAAACCCCTTAACTGAAAATAGGTGGTTAAATTTACTTGAAAAACTACCTTCCCTCTTAACAAAACAAACAATTTTGAAGACTACGAATTAAGAAACGGAAAAAAGATATTGAGACATTACATTGGACTTGGAGGGTTCTAATCCAAAAAGCTGAAGTTAAACTCAATGTCCTATGCGCCCTCTTGAGGTACTAGTGTAGAAGATATATGCACAATACACAAAGCAAGCAAGGCATTGGTGATTGTAACTGACATTGATAAAAGATGGGGTTACAATTCACTTAAAATCTCTCCAACAATACATTATTCTGTTGTTTCTTTCTTTGTTTTCTCTCTCTTTTAAATTGAGCCTTTTAGTAACCTTAAGTATCATTTTCTTAATTCTTCTTGGAAAAAACAAGATTAACTTGAAAATATAAACAAAAAAAATATTCATGGAAAAAAGAGAATGCATTTACTTTTTTCTGTTGGGTCAATACAGTCGGTGTAAATGTAGTTGAGCACCATTTCAAATGCTTCTGGCACAGCTTTTTTCAAATGAACTTGTAATTTTGGAATATCTGTAGGTAGAATTTCATTAGTGCCATGAACCTACAGAGAGAACAGAAAATTAATTAGTTAGTGCATCTTTTAGTGTACATCCTTAATTATAAATTTTCTTCAAATTTGAAATTTAACCTTTTTTCGGGCACAAATCAAAGGGTTGAAAACAAAATAAAAGGAGATCTTGGTTTTAAAAACTATGAGAGTAGTACGCACAGGGTAAAAAGAAATTCAGCCCTGGCTAAATTTCAAGATTTTTTGAAATGATGTGTTTTACAATCTTCTGAGTAGGATGGGATTAGAAAATTGAACTTGCAGTAGGCCGATATAATAAATATATCGAAAATATTGGATCCAAAGATTGCATTTTTTGGCAATTCTACCTGTGTACTGTACTTTCATTGTACGGAGAAGAGGCACCGTCACTGAGTCGAAGATGCCTATTGATGTGAATTGAGTTGACATGCCGTCTTATCTTCTTGGCCGACCTGTCAGTAAGGCAGCTTCAGAGACTGTTATGTAAATCTAAATACTGTCTCAGAAAATTTTATCAAAAATTAAAACTCAAAAACATAGAGAGGACAGGGGTCAGATATTAGTTTTCCTCACCTTTTCAAGCTGTTTATCCCTTAAATTCTTTGCTTGCCGTATTCGTGAGCGCAAGTAAGTGGATCTTGCAACAATTATGGCTATATGAGCTGGAATAACAACCTCATCTGGTCCAACGATGAATTCTACATCGCAGAACTGACGCTCCTCTAACAATTTGCCGAAATCTTCATGAAGCGTACATTTTGGGTAGCAAGAAAACTGAAAAAAAAAAAACCATTTTACTGTAGTTGTAAAAATTTAAACACGACAGCAAAGGCGACAGCTGTGTGTTCGTGAAAATTAGCACAATTATGTTCTGGCATTCAGAAAAGAGCAGAGAGAGGGCATATTTTTGGAGCGAGGAGCTGATTTTTATAATCAATATTCGCATCCATAAGTAATTACAGCCCATCTGATTAGTCAGAGAGCAAAATTTTGAATAATCAAGACTGAGCGCCAGGATTTTGTGGCAAGCCTTTTTATGCAGATTTGAGCAAGTAAACATGATTTTTGACATCTTTTTCTGCTGCTATTAAGATGAGGAGATGCATTTGAAGAAAATTATTCTTCCTGCCTAATGGTCTTGCACCATATGTGATGAATTTGAAGAAGTTTTTGTGAACTTCAGTGACTTTTCCTTTGAACGGTCACTAATGCAGTGCTCTTGACCGCCCAGCATTTTATGTTACAATATAATTATGAGGTTTGGGAAATTCTGAGCCCCTTATTATACCAACCTGAAATCGAAACATTTCTCCGCTTCGCACATTGTTGTCAACTGTGCCACCAAAAATGTACATGGCATCCCCAACAACAGCGGCTGCGTGGAAAAGTCTCCCCGATGGAACTTTGCTGTCTGCTGATGGCTGAATGATGGACCAAGTGACAGTGTCCAAATCATAACAATGAAGGTCATTTGGAAGAGTAGAATCAGCTGCCCCACCAAACATGTATAAGTGTCTTTCGAATGCAACCATGGTGTGACCATATCGTCGAGCTGGAGGAGGTGGACCTCTCCTTAATATGTGTTCAGTGGAAATTCTAGTCCAGCTGTAAACGTAGAGACAAAGAATATTAGAAAGGTCAGCCTCTTCTGATCATGTTACACTCACACTTTTCCAATTTTAAGGTTGATACCAAACTATGAACCCAAAGATAAATCGGTTTTGAAAAGCACTTTGTTCCCTATTTTTCAAAATGTATTACTTTTGACCTTGCTGCATCGTTACTAAAGCAATAATTCAAATCCGCAAGAGCGAATGTTCTCAATATCATGGGAAACTCCTTTCCATCAGTAGGCTTCAGTGCCCCCCTTTGTTGATAGATTCTGAAAACATTCTTGAATTTTTCTGCGGCAATAGCTTAAGTCTGGAGGAGAAGGTGAACCTCAATAAATCCCTGACATTTTCAGTATTAATGAAAAAAAAAATTAAAAGTAAATGAGAGTTTTGGCATGTTTGCAAAAACTTTCACAAAGTATGAGGCAAATTATATTGAAGGAGAAGATCAGTGCAAGTTACCTACCACTTTTCTTGGAAATGGAATTGAAATAAACTGTTTGTAATTTTAGCACCACTTTGACCACTGAAAACAAACATAGATTCTCTTGCGACTGCTACAGGGAAATTACAACAAGTCGGTGGACAGTTTCCAGATTGGACAACCGGCTCCCATACTCGATTTTCACCCTGCACATTTAATAAAATTGAGAGCAATTAAAAATCGGTAGGGATTGAACTCATAAGAATAGAGGGGATAATCACACGTCAAACTTATAGATCTAAACAAATCTATGAGCTACATACTGGGAACCAAGAGTGTTGGATTAGCTTGATTTTAATAATTTGTAAACATTTCAAATAATGAGATCTTCGAAAAATTTGAGCAAAATCATGGAACGGTGGCATTTTAACAAGATTTTACAAGATGCAATTTACCAGACAATCTCTGTTTTGATAGAAAAGGATTGCGATTTAATGTCGCAGAGTGCCCAGGCCTGCTGTAAAAGCAATATATAAATGTATAGAAAATTTTGGAATGCGACAAAAAAGCAGGACTTAGTCAAGAACAAAGGTAAAATGAAAACTTAAGGTGTTTAGGTGGCACAGTCATGATCATGTTCTACTCAAATCTGCAGTATCTAGTCCAAACAGCTTTCATCTACCAATGCATAAAATGGGTACTACATGGGATCTCTGCCAAAGTATTCCTCTTATCAAATGAGAGCCAATCTCGTCTATTTAAGTACTCGATGATAAATTTATGATTAAAAAATAGTTGCCTTTCTGTAGACTCGAGTGTAATTATGTATTTACACTGATGGGTTGGTCTCCACCCAATGTCATTTTTCATTTATGCTTCGAATCCTCTATACTGTTGTTGCGATCTATGATGAGAGGGATCTGACAGAACACAAGAATTGATTCCTGCCGATAGCCAGTCTTGAATGCAGTTTGACCAGAAATGGACGCGGCTAAACTGGATGCATCATTCAGTGATAAAATAGGCTTAAAATGAGCAAGTAGAAGACCAAATAAATAGCATCAAGCTTCAACGTCCCTCCTGATGTGTCGTATTTTACTCTTGCAGGGATCAGGGATGGAAGAAACTTTGATCCCTCTCCCATTTCATGTGTTTTAAAAGAAGACCTTGATACTTACTGGTAGCAGAGATATAGTCCACATATCATTTAAACGCACATTACCATCGTAGCCTGCAAAAATCCATAGTTTGTTATCATAAACTGCTGCACCATGAGCTGATCGAGGGACAGGTGTTCTGTGAAAGCAAAAGAAGTAAAACATTGAGATGATCCCTTTCCAATGCATGACAAACATAAAATGAGAAGTTTTGAGAAAATACAGGCAATTTTTAAACGGAACTGAGCAAAAAAATCGTAAGTTAATGCTTAAATTGCATCGATTTTCATCCTAAAGCATAAATTGAAATGAATAGAAATTTGAAACAATATAAAATTGTCGTACTAAATGCCACAGCACTAGGTTCACACTATTCTGAAAGTAAATCAAAGCTAGATAAACCAAAAAACAGAACTTGAGTTACAAAGTGAACTCATAAGAGTTTCGGTGCGAGACTGGGTGTTTAGCTCAGGCAGCTGTACCAGAATACTTAGCTGAAGTCCCACTAATTAGAGATCACTACCAATCTGGCGCTTTTTTCAGTGCATCAGCATATCACACACAGTTAGAGGCCCAGCTTAGCATTCAGCAAAATCCTGAAGAATATTAAATCACAGGTAAATAAGTGAAGAAAGGCATGGCACCGAAGTGAAATCTTTCCTCTGTTTTTAGTTGCTGCTGAACGGCTTTGAGGATAAAAATAGGAAAACGCCCAAAGAAATGGAAATTGGAGTCTAATTCTGATTTTTAAATTTTTCTGGCTTTGAATTCTAATTAGATTGGGTAATATGGGATCAGTATTATTTTATCATCCAGTGACAGTTTTAAAGCCACATTTTTAGTGGTCTTTTTCTCTTTTCATAGACAGATGTTACTGTATAAAAATGCCCTCCATGAGATGCTTCATGCAGAAAAGTTTGCGATATAAAAAACAGTTTAGCTGATCTTAAAGCTATCCAACCAATAGAGGATTCGGACTTAAAAAAGATATTGACTTGCCTGCCTACAAATTTCCATTCAATCCATTGACCCGTCTGGAATTTATATTCAAAAAGATCGTTTTTGTTGGCAAGATTAGAATTTGAATGGATATTGCCTGTGTAACCACCAAACACGAACATTGAGTTTTCATGAACCTAAAAAACAACAGGAAGATATTCAAAAATCAAACAAGGGATACCAAGATTTAAATAAAAATCAACCTGGTAGAGGTGTTGTCATTTTTAGAATGCGAACACATTTTTCTTTCAAAATGATTTTGTCCAATTTGAAGGAGATTAAACACTTACCTAGGAAAAAGTGAAGAAATAAAGGTATTTAGATGGCATAAATACGCCCCCTAAAATTAGAATGCCAACAGGAGTCAAGCCAGTTTTATGGGAAGACAACCAGGTCAATAGCCCTTGCCAGCAAATTTAGGAGATTGAGGATAATTTTACACAGAAAAAATTTCAGAAAAAATACATCAAACTTCCTGCTGAAGGACATCGTTCTTGAAGAATTTTCNGGGGGGGGGGGGGAAGCCTGTTGGTGCGTAATTTTTCGCCCTGCAACCATTAGAGGGGTTGGAAAAAGTCAAATCTAGCCGAGGTTAGGAGAAAAGACTAGGCTGTGATAAACAAACAATGTTTGGAAGCTTTCTACGCCTCTGTGAAGAACACTGATGTTAGCTTTCAAATTTGGAATGCATAGGTATGTGAAAACAAGCTTGTAGTTGATAAACAAAGAAAAAATTACACAAAGCAGTATGTAACTTTTGAATTTTTCTATGGAACCAACGTATCTTCTCCTTACAAGTGATAGCGTAAGCCTAAACAGGAAGTAAGTAAGGGTAAGTGTAAGTTGGGAAATACCCATTAAAACGTTGACAGCCACACCGCTAGCGATCTACTTCTTTCGAAGAACTCCATTGCCGCAGTGCTGAATCTGCCTGAACTATGAGACACTCTAGTTGTCCTAGAGAGTGCGTAACTATAGCCATAGTTGGCACATTTTCTCTCTTGTGCATTGTTTCTGTATGCTAAGTTGCCTTAATTTTTGCCTGGATCCTTGGCAGTCAACATATCAATCTATAGTTACTAGTCAAATCCATAGACATACAGATGTACATTCTTCCCTCTTATACCTTACCTTTACCCTATCCTTTTGGTAACGGAAGAAATAAAAGGACTGAAATTATTCTGAAAAATACTTACCACTGCTGAGTGATGATATCTAGGGGTTGGTGGAGTGCCCATGTGAAACGCTCGTCCCCATGACTTCTCTTTCACATCAAATCTCAATAGATCATTCAACATACTTTTTCCATTGTCACCCCCAAAAACATAGATGGCATCTTTGTATGCAACTACAGTATGCTTACTCCGTCTAGAAAAAAAGAGGCGACAGTCATACATGAGATGTACTTAAGTCTGAAAAACACAGAGACTTTGGACTGTAAAATGAACAGTAGGTAACAGTATTTTCCTCATTTGCTCCCATATTCAATAAGTAGGTGTAGCACAAGTTAAGTACCTAAAAGTTTGGCACTCCTAAGTACCTATTGTAAATCCATGAAATTGCATTATTCATTAATCAAGCTATGATGACTATGAAATCCTTGTTTAGGTATGCAGGTTATGAAAGCATTCTTAAAAAGCTCATGTTCGATGAGTGTGGACATGGTTACTTTTGACTGACACGCACAGAGGAATTTCTTTCAAATTTGTGCGCAGCAGCATTGCCCTCGGTCAACACTTCACTGCTCCTGCATGGCAGCAGTGCAGTCAGTTACCAACAAAAAGTAAACAGGTGTCAAATTATCTAACGCATGTTTCAGATGAACATGATAGAATCCATACAGGAAGAAAGAAACTTTTGGATAATTTTACCTGGCACCAACAAACTCATCACATTCAGGCATTCGTTTCCATCTGTGCACAGTTTCAAAGGATCCAAAATCTAATGTGAGACATTCGGAGGGGAGACAGTCGGATCTGTCAGGCCAAGCCTCAAAATCTACAATTGATGAATTGGATGGTTGCGAACAGGCCATGATTGCTGTCCAATAAAAACCTGAAAGAAAAAAGGAGAGAGTTTATACTAACATTGAGGATTGAAAATTCAGGGGGAAGAAGAATTATACACTCGATAAGACCATGACAAAATCTTCATGGGGAATTAGTAAACCACCCATGGTTGGGACAAAACCATGAAACATAAAATATCATGAGTCAAAGGCCAATTTCACTGATGACAGTATTTCATATTGGTGCAATAATGCATTTTTTCAATTGACACTTACAATGGGACACTACTTATGGATCGACAGTAGATTTAAATTCCATTATATCACACAAGATGAAGAGAAGTTTCTCAGTTGCAGCTAGTCACACTGACTGACAAGAATCTGTTGCAAAAATGCTCTTTCTTACCGATCGTCAAATCAATTCGGTGAGGTTAGAGACACATATTGGAGGAGAATTGATTGGCTTCCATTCATTATTATAGTTGAATCACCTCTTCCTCTGAGGATGAATGGGACTTGCGTGGGGCTGAGAAGTTATGAATGGGAATTGGAGAGAGGAGGGCTGGGCTGCTGGGACTGATGGGCAACTCCAACTCGGGCTACTTCTTCAGCGAGAAAACGAATCTGCGAGTAAACTGCACTGCAAGTGAAAGCGCACCTCACAAAATTAACAACTGCTACAGTTTTTATCACTTCACAAAGTACACAAAGAAAATAAAGAAATGTGGAATTGAAGTACTGAAAAAGTGTGATAATCTCTAGCAGATCCTCCTGCAGGAGCACTTGCTGTTTGTTTTGATGAACAATCGACCAATCGGAGTCTTATAAGCTGTGACGTCATTATTTTCTTTTGGATCCATTCTAATCTTTTGGATGTTTTCTCTTGAGAAGGAAAGAGGCATGAAAAGTTGCAGAATCCCCAGCAACCATCCGCGTCGGTCACCGGTCAACGATGCATCTTCTTTTCAACAACAATAACGCTACCCTTATATACTACTTATTTCCGGTACAAAGCAATCGCTCGGATGGCTCAATGGGTAGAGCACTCCCCTGCCACAGTGAGGATGCTGAGTTCGGTTCCCGACACTGGAAATTTTTTTTTTTTTTTTCCAATCTGTAAAATCCCCCTATCATGATTCTTCGTCCAAATAAGTCACAAAACTCATTTTTACAACAATTAATTTAATATTGAAAATAGTTAGCTCAATCAGCGACTTTTACTGACTTAGCGGTTAGGTCAAAACTCATTTTTACAACAATTAATTTAATATTGAAAATAGTTAGCTAAATCAGCGACTTTTACTGACTTAGCGGTTAGGTTCGGTTAGGTTCGGTTAGGTTAGGTTAGGTTAGGTTA